CTCGGAGTTCCCACCTCTTAAATAACGTAACAGTATTGATAGCACTGCAATGGAACCCACAGGGAGCACGAGGCAGAGGTAGGCCACGAGAGACATTGAAGAGATGCATGAAAACGGACATGAGAGAGATGAAGCTCACTTGGAACGAGCTAGGAAGGATGGCCTAGATAGAGATAAATGGAAGGAGCTTGTATGTGGTCTATACCCTACCAGGGGTGAAAGGCATTGATGATTGATGGATAGGGGCGTTAAACCTACACCATTTACCACTTGTTTCACCCCTTGACTTTATTTTATTGACGCATTAAAATAATAATATTTGCACGTCATTCTGTCTTGTCTACAAAACACAAAGGCGTCATTTGATAGGAATAGGCAGGGGCACAAAACAGGGGAAATAAAGTACAGAACAAGTGGAAGTGGAATAAGTTGATGGTGATGTGGATCTGTAGAAAACGAGTTCATTAAGTGGAGTTGCACAGTATATCCAGTCGCATAATGTCTATGTAGATCTATAGACAAGGAGTTCATTCTGTGTAACGCACAGTATGTAGATCTATAGACAAGGAGTTCATTCTGCGAAGCTGTACAGTATGTAGATCTATAGACAAGGAGTTCATTCTGTGAAGCTGTACAGTTTGTGGATCTATAGACAAGGAGTTCATTCTGTGAAGCTGTGCAGTATACCTCTCGCGTGACGTCCACACATCGAGACAACCTCGGATGAATGAGTCCCGGCCATTAACTCCTAGACCACAGAAAGCTTTTTCTCCTCTGTGCGGAACCAATTTTATCACCCCAAGTTTTTCAGCATCCCAGAACTCCATTTAACTCCGCTCCTTTTTAACCTATTTACATAAAACAAACACCGACCTGTGTAAAAATGAACGCCCCGGCCAATAAACATACAGTCTGGCTCTAGATGACAAGGATTGGGTTGACGTTCAGCTGATTTTGTTACAACTATAAAACAACCTGTCGTGAATCAGCTGAACTGGCGACTCACGGTAGACGAAGAGCTAATGAGTCAGATCTGGATCAACCCTCTCTCTCTCTCTCTCTCTCTCTCTCTCGCTCC